TCATTTCTAAATCCAAGATGGCGGGCACGATTTTTTCAAAAAAATGCTATGTGGGTATCATTTTCGAGGTATTTGGGGATGCTCAATGTGAATAAGGCACTATTTGTAAATCCAAGATGGCGGGCACGATTTTTCAAATAATGGCAAGTTGGGTATCGTTTTCGAGGTATTTGGGGGTGCTCATTACGAATATTGCTTTTGTTTGAACTGTCGTGTTTGCCATCTTGGATTTAGAAATGAGTGCCATATTTGTATTGAACATTCCCAAACATCTCGAAAACGATACCCAGCTTGCCATTATTCGAAAAATCGCGCCCACCATCTTCGATTTAGAAATAAGTGCCATATTCGAAACCTAAAACCGAAAATGCCATAAGCAAACATTAAAGAAAATAACTGTTAAAATAGATTAAAAAATCGCTTAAGAATGCTCCCCTTTTAAGAAAATAAAATATTTTAATATAAAATATTTCGCTTGAGTTACGAAAAGAAAGACATATAATAAGCTATCAAAGTTGTACTGGTGGTGCCAACACTATAGTAGAAACAAATATATACTGTAAATTTGTTGCAATATGTGCTCCAATTCAAATAAAATTAAAATAAACAATTATTCAATAAAGCATGAACGCAGAGCCGTTAAAAGTATTATAAAATAATTAAGTGTCCCAATCACTTACAGGAGTTAACGAAAACATTTAATGTTTATTCAAGTAAATATTAGTTCAAGATGCGCAAATAAATCGAAATTACAGGCACCACTAAAATTTACGTAATATAATTATTTTGATACAGAATAGCAAAATGGGGAGAAAAAAAATTCGTTACTTTGCAACACTTTCGTATCTTGTTGCCGCGAAATTATTTTTCTGTTTTAGTGAATATTTACATAAAAATATGAGTTGAAACGCATTACTTACTTGTGGAATGCGATGTTAGTGTCTATTTTGTTTGTCTGTTGTATTTTTACACCCATTTACCGCACATTTCGTCATTTTTAGCAAAAAATTTTGGAGCTGTTCGCGGTGCAATATGACCTTGAGCACTAACAGCCCGCGCGCTCCTGGGACGCGTTTGGAACCCTCTAACTTGCCTCACTTAGCGTGTGCGGGCTAGGTTTCTATGCGTTATTATTCTAAGGTTATAATGATATTAGTGGCGTAACTTGATAACGCGTTATATTTATTTTAGATGATATAAGATTATAAATATAATACGCCATGATATATTACACTGATTAGTGAATATAGAACTGATAATGTGATATCTATTAATTATACCGGTGGTGTACATCGACACCACTTGATGTGTATAAGTGTTAAGGAGCGGTATTTATTTACATTTCTGATTTTCATTGAACGTTAATACGCGTGTATGATTTTAAGAAATTACCACAGACAATATAAAGAAGAACCGATTGTCGACATTGGCAATGTTGTCACTTTCCACGCGGAACGATAAGCTATTTAAAGATTTTGTGACCCTCTTTGAGTGTGCAAAGAAATTATACAATTGATTCCGCCTTTCCATCTCCCGTGAACCAGACGTACGACCACAACCTTATATTGTAGATATAATCCATAAATGCGAAGCGCCTGGTTTTCTACTCTACGTAGATAGCGAAAGACAGCATGGGCCATTTCAAAGCAAGGGTGACTATACATATACGGTCGTCATAAACTAACTCGATGTCAACTACACTACAACTAACAAATGATAAATGCATTTTTTTTTAAAGATTATGTTTACCTAGTTGTGTATTTTATCTTAATTAAGAACCGTCACATATAGGACGTCGTGATTTGTTTGATACTGATTGGCCTATGTATTTAGGTTAGATATTGAAAAGGAGGGTTTTCAACAATATTACGTAGTAGTAAACGTTTGACGTGAGTTTGTGAACGTTGATGGCTCAACGGTGTGCACTGTGGGCGTTGGATGCAGAGGTCCCGGGTTTGATTCCCGGTAGGACGAATCTGAGAACTGAACTTTTATAAACTGGCTCTGAATGTTCTGGAAAATGCCCCAAAGTGAATTCCTTTGCTCTGGTTATGGTTCCGTTACTCATAGCACAAGGAATTCCTTAGTTTGAGACCAGGCAATTGGTGTGGGTCTCTGGCACTTTATTATACGTAGGTCACTCAATAAGTTTTGAGATAAAGAAAAAATATCAAACATATTAATATAATTTATTTTACATTTTTTTCAAAATACTCTCCATCATTATCTACACAAAGTTTCATTCGTCTAAACCAACTCTGAAAACACTTTTGCCAGTCTTGATCCGTCAGCATTGAAATTGCCATTTCGTAGGCAGCTACTGCTTCTTCGACACTCAAAAAAATTTTCCTTTGATTTTATCCTTCACTGTTGGGAACAAAAAGAAATCGCAGGGAGCCAAGTCAGGGCTGTACGGCGGGTGATTTAAGGTTTCTATACCAGATTCCTCAATAAACGCCTTTGTTCTGAGGGACGTATGTGAAGAGGCGTTATCGCGATGTAGCATGATTCCCCGAAGCCCGGTCTTTGGTGTCCTCTCCCGCACAGCTTGGAAAACTTTTGGCAATGCTACTGTGGTGTACCATTCTGAATTAACAGACCTACTATTTTCTAACATTGACGTCGACAAATGTCCGCACCGAGAAAAAAAACTAGCTACCATTTTTTTGGCGACGTTTCGAGGTCTTTGCAACTTTGTCGGTAATTGTCCCTCTGCGAAGACCCACACCGACGACTGCTTCTTGCTTTCTGGATCATATTGATAGATCCATGTTTCATCACCAGTAACGATTTCTGAAACACGTCTCGATGTCCCGTTTTCGAAATGTATAAGCATTTCTCGGCACCAATCCACTCGAGCCTGTTTTTCAGCACCGGAGAGCAATCGTGGGATCCTTCGACAACAAAGCTTCCTCACTCCAAGATGTTGATGCAGGATAGTATTGACGCTTCCCGAATTAATGCCTAGGATCTTCTCAATGTTTGTGTACGTGATTCGTGGGTCTTCTCGCACCAACATTTCAGATGTCCACACATTTTGTGCAGTAACTGCTGTTTCCGGGCGTCCGCCTCTTAGGTCATCTTCAAGGTTAGTTTTGCCTCTTTTAAATTCCTTAAACCACCTAAAAACTATTGCACGAGAAGGAGCAGAGTCCTCTAATGCTGACTGCAAACGTTCCAAACTTAATTGTTCAGTTAAACCACAATTAAAATCATAGAAGATCATAGCACGCAAATGTTCACGGTTAAGATCTATTATTGTAAAGAAAAAGCGCGGGAAGCGTTGTAGTAAAATGACTAACAATGTCATTTTTTTTTAATTTAGCTAAATTGCTTTTGGTGATCTATTTTTAAATAAATTTGCTTTTTAAAAACATATAATATGGGTGCGTTCCATTTTTAAATTTCGAGCATCTCAAAACTTATTGAGTGCCCTACGTATTAACGTAATATGTCATATATCAATCATTTGCAGTCATTGACTATTTGTAAGTCAATGTTTGCAGTACAATAAAGTCACTGCACATTATAAGGTCGAAATTTGAAAATATGGCACCGTCGAAATAATTTATATTACATACTTATTTAAAAAAAAGCATAATTCATGACCACGAAACGCTGTGTTCGAATTGGGATATCTCAAAATATTCATTTACTTCTTACTGGACAAATGCCAAGCGTGCAACGATATGCCACGTCAGTTTTGCTTTGTAAATGGTTATCGTAGGTAAATGATGTAATTCGTCATTTCAGTATCTGACTTGAGAAATTGTAGCGAATTTCCGTCTAGCGGTCGCGGTATTTATAGGCTGAAATCAAATAACGGTAAATGCGAGAATGACGTTCAGATAGTGCAAGATAAGTGGCCACAAAACTGGAATTCTTTTTTAAATTTTACTTCATTCAATCGATCACACTTTCTTAAGAATTGTTCATCTAATCATTTCTTAATTATATGCTGGATCCCGGGATGCTCTATTATATGACTCTATTTTAAAGATACTATGTTATCTAAAAGAAATTAATCCTTTACCCTTTCGATCGGCATCATGTGTATGTAGTAATTCTTTTTCCTTTTGTATCAAACGTTTTATGGTTTGAATTGTAGGTAAACGTTTCTTTTTTACTATTATTTTTTCATTAGTTGTTTATAATTGATATGCATCACTACTCCTCAGTTTTGTTATAATAATTAGTGGTTAACGGTGTTGGTGACACAATGATTCCATACTTACAGTAAAAATTTAATAATGAGTTTTAATTGTGTCTACTGTTGGTTGACTCAAATAAATTAAAAACAAACAGAAAAACACAGAGTATTTTTTTCACAAGGTGAGGCTTGCAACTTTTAAAAATCTTTGAATACTGTATTACTGACTTTTAAAATTGAAGTAAGGTCTCCATGGAGCAAAATCTAATCTACATTGTTTCTTAAAAGTAATTTCCCTCCGTGACGCACACGCATAGTCGAGGGACACCCTTGTACCTATAATTAATTACATATATTCAAAATATTAATACAACACTTACTTGTCTATCTCAGGTCTTGATATTTGGTACATTCTCCTGTTATCTTCGTACCAGAATGCATTTGGTATCATGGTGATATTCGACCGAGTTATTTCTGGGTCCAAGGTCATCGAGCGATTTGCCTGAAATTTTATCTTTTTAAGAACTTAATTGTAAATTTAATCAGTTTAAAGTCTTCAATTGATACTAAAAATATCACATCGACATGAACTTTATAACATTTAAGACAGGTTGCGAGCAAATGAGAAAAACAATACATTATTAAAAAAACAAATCGGATTATTTAGCATCAATATAGTTACGTACTTCACACGTTTCGTTGCAAAGATCAGCAACTCAGTAAACAAATTAGAAATATCATTACAAAAATCATTCATAAAATTAAAAATTCTTGAACGGCTGAATCTTGAATTTAACAATGACGAATTTACCATTTATATTTATTTATATTGATACTTTTAAGAATTCTGTTATAATAGGATTTAAAGTATGAAATTGCCGTTACGTACAAAATAATTCACATTTTTCATTCAAAAAATGTTCTAAAAATAAAATTTAATAAATCAAAATATGCATCCCTGCCATCAATACACTTTCCGGCGCTTCTTGCTGGAAGCCAATTTATTTCTTTGCGGTAGAAACGAGCTTTGGATATTTGCATCCGTTTCATACATGTCGTTAATGTTTCGAAGCATTTGCGGTACATTAGTGTCACGTTAGTACGTCTATTCAAAAAGTTTTCGGTTTTTACCAGACTCCACGTGCCATTTTAAAATGAATGCAAAATTAACCAAAACAAATAAAAATTTCAAATTACGCTATAATAAAGTTCCTAGGCTTTCACAAAAGTTCTATTAAAATATTTCAATTCGTTTCGAAGTGCCCAGTACAGTAGAATACCAACTTCATACTTTAACCCCTAGTAGATTTAGTTTGCACTTCTGCAATACGGACTATTTCTGAACAATTCAAATCTTAGGGTCGTATTCTAGAACACTATTCAACGTGCAAGTCAGGATTGCACTGGCAACACAAGCACTGGAAATACGACCCTAATGGCAATGACTTGAATATGATTTTTAGTGCTTTGAATCATACTCAAGTCCTGACTTGAGCATTGAGTAGTATTCTAGAATACGACCCTTAGTTTCAGAAGTGACGTAGATATGTGATTTCGATTTGGTATCAAGTATAATTATATACGTTACAAACTCGGCAAGGCAATATGTATAATTCAAATAACGGTTAGAGGTTTAAAACTTTGAAAATTTCTTTACAACTCTCTTCATTCTTGCCCTTCTCAATATTAATTCGCAGGCATTTCTTTATGCTAAGTAAAGATAAATGTTTGAACGGGTAGTAGTAGTAGTATCATGTACAGTAGTAGTTAGTCCATGCAAAGTTTCAAAATACTACATTGATAATCTCAGCACAGAGTAAAAAACCGACCTCAAAAATTCGTGGAATTACATCTATTTGCCAAGTTTTATTGAAATCGGTTACGGGAAAATGCGCGAAACCGGATTCATTCCCACTACCGAGGGTTACCTCTTCCAACAAAAAAAAAACAATCGTCAAAATCGGTTTAAAAATTGTTATCGCGTAGCATACATACATACAAAAATAATACAGTCGACTTAAGAACCTCCTCCTTTTTTTCAAGTCTGTTAAAAATGGACCCTTATGCAATTGTGTATACAGTAAGTAAATCTGATTTTTTTTATAATACCAAGTGATGGGACGAACAAGGCGTGCGCCTGGTGGTAAGCGACACGCGTGTCCATAACAGATGCAGGCCACTCAGACCTTTAAATCATAAAGATCTGAGAGGCACTGCGCCCGTTACTCCGAGACATAAGTTGATAAGCCTGTAAGTTTACCAGCACTATATTTTAGTAGCAGTAGAGTTCCATGTGAAAGAGTATATTAGGATGACGGTGATGTGTTAAACACATATAACACATAAATACAATTACACATTTGTTATTTAAAGCTCTGAGTGGCACTGCAACTTTTCTGGACAGGCGTGTCGTTGATCACCAGGCGTACGATTTGTTCGTCACGTCATTTGGTATCATAAAAAAAATTTTAGGCGGTATTTTTGAGGATATGGCCGTGCGTACTAGGTACGTTCAATTGACACAAAAATCTCCCTATATATAGAGTACTTATTTAATACTTAAATGTGCAAAACCTTTGAGTGTTATATATTACGCCCGTCTATTATATAATAGCACCATTTCTAGACATGCTCAATGAAGCCTACGTTTAAAACTACCTACATTATTGACTGTAAATGTACGTAGCAACAAATAAATTAGAAATCAAAATATTGTAAAATCAGTACAAAAATTTTGCAGAAAAAAATAAATATTATGAAAAACATACCTGAAAGTATTGCCTCGCTTTGGATATCAATAGCTGTTTGTTGTTTGATATTTGATTGGTTGTTGTATCAATAATGCTAAAGAGATACCTGTTGATTGCTAATACTAATTGTTTGCACCATACAATGCTTATGTGGTCAGGAGAAACCCATACTCCTGGGATGGCAGTTGTCTAAAATCCGAAAAGAGCTTTTAGTTCTCCTAAGTTCGTAAAATGTACATAATGTGTACATAATATGTGATTCAGACCCAGACAATATTATCCCCATCATCACGTAAACGCCCAGTGTATAGGTGGCAGCACATTAAACTACACATTGACGGATCTTGTTCCGTTACACAGGAGGCGATGTTCGACCTAAAGTGTATAGCTTAATGTGCTGTTAACTGTACATTGTACTGAAAACAACGCATTCAAATTTAGCGCTACATATTCTGTATGACCACAGGGTATTTAGAAAAACACGTTTTTCATATATAGGCATACTTGCTGGGCCTTAAAGCATGTAATTATATTTAGTACATTTTAACGCCTCCTGACGTAGACTACTGTATTATTGTAGTCAACGTTGACGTCAGGGCTTTAACCTCCGCGTTATGTTGAATCAAATATAACAACTTAGAAGTAATTACTTTAAAAAGAAGACTTTTTTGTTTGCGAAATTACATTCCAAAAAGTATTTTGAGTGTCATTCTATGGAGTCAGTCGTAAAACACGCTAAAGTTAAAATTGCAGCCAAAACAATTTCTTCTAAAACATTTGTTTATACGCCGACTAAAGACGCGATAGATAAGAAATATATCAACAAATCAGTGTAATAATTTTTTTGCTACACAGAATTATAGATACTACTTTTTTACATTGTATTCTTAAAAAAAATATATACCAAAGCTCACCAAAGCACTAACGGAGCTATCACTCGAAAACGTCAATCCTGAAGGCATAAGAATGTCCCTTGGTCCATTGCCAAAGCTGAGTAATATTTTATTTGGTGCAGCTTCTTTGTTTCTATTTACATAAAAGTCCCACTCAGCACGCATTAGCATGTAATAATCATTCATAGTGATGTCAAAGTTTACTACTGGTGCTTCTAAGGGTGTTGCCAGTGTTATGGCTATTGACGTTGTGTTGACTGTACTTGGGTATGCTAGTAGACGTTTCGCTATTACACCTCCCTGTAACAACGTGTAAACAGATCACTAGATAAAATGACAGCTGCCTAGTTGACTAAAGGTAAAGGATGAAATCATATTGTAGTAGAAAAATAAGTATTTAGTTAAGTGTATGGAGGCCTATTATGAAATCCTATATATAAAAAAGAGTAGATATGAGGTTGATGACATATTAACTATATCATAATGACTTTTCAGGTTGGAGACCACATGTCTGTGGTGGAGACAAAAGATGTTACATGAACAAATAATATAAGTTGTATACATGTTGTATAATAAAGAATGTCACTAGATTTAGTTTCCTTATGACGAAATCTTAAGGGCAGTGACAAGTGCTTAGTTTTAAGCAAAGAAATTTAAAAGCATGTGTGTCTTCATTTTGTAAACAATAATGTAAGACTTATTAGATATATTTTTTATTGCTTTACAAAGTACTGTGTATTGTTTAATTTCAGTAATTAATATAGGAATAAGTATTATTTAACTGCCTCTGTGGCCGAAAAGTTACCATGATGAACTGCCACGCCGGGATCTCAGGTTCGATTCCCGAGCCGGGAGAAATATTTATACGGCCTACATTTGTTTCTCTCATGAGTTTGGGTGTAATTTGTGGTTGTCTATGTATGTCCATGGTGCCCGCGATACAGGGTTTCTTTAGTGCGGTGTTGTGTTGAGTGTGTGCGTTATTATTATAAAAAAAATTATAATTTGAATATAAAATTTTTATAGTATTACATTTCCTTAAATTTGATTATTTTTATTTTACATGCATATTTTTTTATTTTACACTTAAATTTTACATGTTTCACCAACACTAGAACATTCCTATACATTGAAATTTTATTTCCTTACAACATAATAAGAATTTTTCATTAGGTATCTGGTGTTTAAATAGGAATAAAAACATTTAATAAAAAACTCACCATTGAATGTCCAATAAGAATAACAGAAGTAGGAACAGATTTAGTATATCTATTGCTTTTATAAAGATCAAGTATTGCTGAAATACAGGCAGCTGTAAATTTTGTCTGACTATGGAGTACACCCCCATATAGCCCGGATAGCTCTTCATTGTAACTTACTAGAAAAAAATTTGGCCTTTTAAAAAAATATTGTTGCGATTATAATACTGCTTTTAAATTGCAAGACAATGAATGTTCTTCATACTAATATTGTATAAAAAAATTTATGATAAAACAATTTTTAACTACAATTGTCACCAAAAGGGTATGGCATAAAATTAGATTATATTGAGACTACCATTTTTACGTAAATAATAGATGTAACTACATCTATTATTTACGTAAAAATGGTAGTAAATGATATTTAAGACTAAATTGTCATGTGAATGTAAATAAGCTCTTTTATTTATTTATTTTGAAATTCTAAATCTGAGTGTCACATTAACCACAATATTTTTTTTACTTCACATGTATAACTATGACCTTGTTACAGATTCTTTTTTTTAAATTAATAACAATACATATTATGTCTTACTTGTGAAATAATCAAAGTGGTAATCTCGTTCACTATTCAATGCCTTCCTAAGGGCCACTGAAGCTAGTGATCTCGCCTGCATATGACTACCTGAGTTGCCAGGAAGGTATAGCACTGGAACCCCATCAAACCTAGTAACAGAAACGGAATACAAGCTATTGTTTTGTAGTTAAGTATCTATCTGACACTTTATTAATAAAATTAGAATCCTAGAAATACTAAACTTTGATAAGTTATTTCCTAATTAATATGCAGTATAAAATGTTCAATAATGTATAAGAAACTATATAAAGAAGAGGAATGCCGTACTGCTAAAATTAGAAAACAATACGAGTCATATCAGTTCAATATATTATTAAAAAGTAAGCAATAATGGAATTTACCACATTTTCCTAGCTCTTTCAGTAAATCTCCCTTCACTATATGCATACAAGCCATATTGAGGAAAATCACTATTTTCAGATACCGATATTCTCTGCAACAAATAAAAGTGGTCCAATTACACACGACACAGAAAGTGTGAATTTTAAGCTTCATCAATTGCTACTTACAACATACTGGGGATATTGGTACATATATGTCATCTCGCAATAATTATTTTTATCGGTGAAATGAATGTTTAAAACTCCAAGAAGAAAGCTTAGAGCAAAAATAAATGAGACAATTTGGAAAACACTCGAACCAATTATTTTTAGGAACTTCATTGTGAAGTGTGTTCAACTTAAAATGATTTACGTAATTTTGGATATGTTCTAATTAAGCATCTAAACAGGGGTATAATTATGAACTAATTTCAATAACAAATAAAATTCAAAATCACTTGTATCGCCCATATTTTCAAAGATAACATTACTGTACTGAACTGTAGCAGACCAGCACAAACTACTAATAGACCAGGACCAGACTGAACTGAACTATTGCTTGCTGCTGACAGTGACACTGACAGCCAGTGTTACCATGTCCAAAATCTGTCGGTCAATGGATAGATCCTGAAATTAAGGTGCAATAGGCCCGGAAAAAAACAGTGTAATTATGGTATGTACATTATTAATTTATTACACTTTCAATAGTAACTTACAAATAACCTTTTATAAGAGTGAATTACCTTACTTTATCTTATAGTTAAATAATATTAATGAAAAAAACATTTTAGTGCATATTTTACAGAGGAAAATTAGAATTATAATGAGAAAAAAATTAAAAATTAAATGTGAACATTTATAAAAATGAGGAGATGAATAGATAAAAATTTGTCTAAATCTGTTCCTTTTTATAAAAGAACAATTATCAAATACAATTTAGTAGCAGTAGAGCTCCTTGTGAAAGAGTTCGTCCAGGCAAGTACTGCTATCTTACCTATTTTTGCCGCCAAGCAGTAGTGTAAGCATAACTGCGTCCGGTTTTGAAGGGTAAGGGTGCTGGTAAAATTACAGGCATATCTGACTTGTCTCTGGGTAATGAGCGCAGTGGCAGTGGCCCTCAGATCGAATATATTTCAAAAATAATTTAAACATTTCAAATTTAGAACGTTTTATCTTACGTGCTAGTACTCTATAATATCTTATGCATATAAAACCATGTTAATTTCTTGTTAAAGGGATCACTTAACCCCGTAATATGCCCTTACTTGTACGGAGCTTCTCTTTATGCTCTTTCAAAGAAGGATGGAGGCATTAGGCCGATAGCTATAGGCTGCACAATACGTCGTCTAACTGCCAAACTGTGCTGCCGAATGGTTAAGGATTCAATGGCAAGCTATCTCCAACCAACTCAGATAGGCTTCGGTACTGCCCAAGGTTGTGAGGCGGCTATACACGCTACTCGAGCTTTTGCTCTTGCAAATGAGGATAAGCACGCCATAATACTCAAAATAGACATCAGGAATGCCTTTAATAGTGTCGAGAGGGACACTATTCTTGGGGAGGTTCTGGAGCAGGTACCATCCATTTATCCGTTTCTTCATCAGTGTTACTCCACAGCCAGCAAGTTATTCTTTGACAATGAGTGTGTAAGCTCGCAAGTCGGGGCTCAGCAGGGCGATCCTTTGGGGCCTTTAATATTTTGTCTAGCCATACAGAAAGTTATTTCTTCTTTGGATTCACCCCTAAACGTATGGTATTTGGATGATGGAACGATTGGTGGGAACCCGCAAGTGGTGCTAAATGATTTAAAAAACCTTGTGCCCGTTTTGAGGGCGATAGGTTTGGAGATAAACCCAAGCAAATGTGAGCTTTATTGTTGTGGTCCTGTGGAATCGGGCTTTTTGTCGGACATGGAATTATTGGTGCCAGGTGTGCGACGACTTCATAAATCATCTTTGTCTTTACTGGGCGCTCCCATCTTTCCCGAAGGGGTTAGTGCGGCTCTTGAGGATAAAAGGTTGGCATTGGTTGGAGCTCAGGAACATTTGGACAACTTGTCGGCACACGTCTCGCTTGTTTTATTGCGGAGCTGTTTTGCGATGCCACGCGTGCTGTATATTCTGAGAACTTCTCCTAGTTGGTTGTTCGAGGACGATGTGGCAAGGCTGGACGACACATTGAAGTCATCACTTGAGTCTATATTAAATGTTCATCTAACTGAATCACAGTGGTGTCAAGCTGCTCTTCCAATTCGTCATGGCGGACTGGGGGTACGTCGGTGTCGAGAGATCGGTTTGGTGGCTTTCTTGGCTTCGGGTCATAGGTCTTTGGGGCTAGTCACTCGTAAATTACCCTTCAATGGTGACGACACCCGGATACCTTTTCTTGCCGAGGCCCTTACCAGGTGGTCCACTGTTTGTCCGGGTGATGAGCGGCCGGATAATGTCGTCGTCCAGAGAGGATGGGATGATGTTTTGTGTAGGGAGATCACTACATCGCTATTAGGTGAGGCATCGGGTGATAACGTGGCACGTCTAAAGGCTGCAATTAAGCCTGAATCAGGAGCGTGGTTGCAGGCATTGCCTTCACCCCATTTAGGCACACTGCTGGATAATGACTCTTTGAGAATTGCAGTTGCTTTACGGTTGGGATGTAAGGTTTGTGAACTGCATCACTGCATTTGTGGGGTCATGGTTGAGGAGAATGGCCACCACGGCCTCAGTTGTCAAAGGTGCGCGGGGCGGTTTTCAAGGCATCATGCGATTAACGATTTAGTTCGCCGGGCTTTGGTGTTGGCTAACGTGCCTTGTGTCTTGGAACCTCCGGGGTTGTGCCGTACGGATGGCAAGAGGCCTGACGGTCTTACATTGGTTCCATGGCGGAGAGGTCGATGCCTATTGTGGGACGCTACGTGTGTCAGTACATTTGCACCGTCCCATCTGAGTCACACCACCAGATTTGCCGGGTCAGCTGCGGAATATGCGGCAAAATTAAAACACACAAAATACAGCGCGTTGGAACCAATGTACGATTTTGTGCCAATTGCAGTGGAGACTGCGGGGACTTGGGCTGCTGAGGCCAAGGAATTTGTGCGGGAGTTGGGCCGCCGGCTCCGAGAAAGGGGCTATGATCCACGCTCTGGATCTTACCTGGTGCAGCAGATTTCACTGGCCATCCAGCGCGGTAATGCGGCTAGTGTGATGGGGACGTTTGAGCCGGGTACGGTTCAGAGCGGTCCCTTTTAATTTTCGTTCCTATTTGGTTTTCATTACTTATATTATTAGTGTTTTTGATTGAATTTTTTTTTGTGTTTTATTTTAGATGTAATGTGACAATGATAATTAATAAAGTATTCTGTTAATTAGATATATTTCAAATTGTAATTTGATTTCCAACGTATGGAATTCTAAATTATCAAATTTTATTTAAGGCCAATTCTCTCCCCCACTCTTCAATCAGCGGCTGCTCGCTGGACCGTGGCGTGCTGGTGAAATTACAGGCACATGGGACTTGTCAACTTATGTCTCAGGTTGACGGGCGCAGTGGCGGTGCCTCTTTTGCGATTAAAAGCTCTTGAGTGGCACTGCAACTATCATGAACAGGCGTGTAGCTTACCAGCAGGCGTACAACTTGTTCGTCCCGTCACTTGACTATAAAAAAAATCTCTTAATTTTTAGAAATGTTTTGAGTTTAATCGTTTTAATATTTCTTCGTCAGACTTGAAATTGACGCATATTTGCGTATGCCTTTGGATAGACTGCAGCATCAAAGGATTTCCTTAAAGGGGCCGGGTTATTATTAATTTAACCGCATACATCGAAATCGCACCTCCTTATGTTTCATTACAAAAAATCCAGCTTCTGCAGATTATGGTAGATTTTGTCACAACGGTAATCAACCATCATGTGTCAACAGTAGGTGGTAAATTTGTGCTGGGTATGGTGCATTTACCGTAATTACCTTAGACTTATTCCATCCTCTAAAGTAATTACGGTACACATGGCAACACTCCTGACAGCTGATAGAGAAAATTTTACATTGAATGAATGAAATATGTTCAGTTGTGGATTGATTTTGGACGTCTTCCGGCTGTTACTTACACAGCCATATCTAGACAAAAGCCGCAATTACAGCAATTTGTATGAAAACAAAGCGTGCCACATTTTTTGTACCCACTATGACTATACAGACTCAGAACTTTTTAGTGATGGAAACCTCCTTCCGCGCGCTCTGAATCGATTGATTGAACGGAATATGCGTAAATACACGTATTCCATTCAATTAATCAATTCTAATTATAATAATTTTTGTTCAAATATTTGTGGATTACAAGTAGTAGTAATATTAATATAGTAGTAAAATACTAGAGCAAGATAGTTAAGTCCTTTATTTTAGTAGTTTTAAAAAAAATGTTCATTATTAAAAAAAATTAAGACTTCAATTTTTAATCGACTTTAAATGTTAAAATTATTGTCCTTCCAATAAAATGAGCTTATTATATAACATCTTTTTGTAATAGAAGATCTTATCGATTAACTTAAATAATGAATACGCACTTCAATTTATTAACTTGCGACTGCCTTAATTAATTTTACTAGATGATTTTCTGTTGGTAATTGATCAAATTGATGAACGCCAAGACAAATGAAAATGTTACTGCTGACAAAATATGGTAAAAAATATGTCATCATATGGTCAGAAGAGGTTTATTTAATGACGGCCTCGTGTGAAATTTTTGTGATTTATTATTTCTAGGATTTCTAACTCTGCTACTCTACATATTCGGATAACATCTTCGGTGGAATAAACTAGACAACCTTCGTCCTCGAAAGCAACGAACTCATACGTATAAACAACTCCAGGTTTTTGTAAAGACAGGGCACTGTTAATTCTTTGCATTATATATTTATTTTATTACTCGTGCTGCATATCCGGCAATGTATACATATAATTATTTGCTCACTATATTCTGACATTCGAGGCAACGTGCTGCAAAAATCTTCTAAATTACAGATACTACTGATAACAGACACTACAAAACTGAAAAAAAAACGAAACGTTATAACAAAAGAGTTATAGAATATTTTTATAGTATTGATAAGGTCATAATAATTTTCGTCCCTTTGTTTTCAAAATCGATCATAATCGAGAACAGTGTTGCCTAACATATACATCACTAAATGCTAAATTTGGCCAAAGAAATGTATGTATGTACAGTCAAGAGCACATCAAACTTTGTACTATGGACCGTTCTTGTCATAAGCGGCATAGAGTATGATGTAAGTCTTAAGTGTAAAGCTTGACGTGCTCTTGACCCTGTACGTACATGCGGCCGTACCACGAAACTGAATGCATTGTACAAAAGTGCGTTCGTTCAATATTCATGGCATATTAATAATGAATCACAAATATATCGGACCATGGGGTGCTAGGACGACGTATCTCTACGTGAGCGAGTGGCTTCCATTCCTATGCAATCCCAGGATTGTATAGGAAGGGAAAACATGGGCCGGCGCATCCTAGGCAACTCCTA